ATATATAAATTTTTTTAAAATATATTTTACTAATCAAATATTTTTAAAGTATTATGATAAATGATACTGGTTTATACTGTTTAGTGATATTCCCATTTTTAAATATCACATATTATGTTTAAGGAAGTGTATATGAAATATTAAATATTATAACTATTCGTGCGAGATTATTTGTAAATATATTTGAGTAAATTTGATTATTCTGTGTTATGCACTATTTTCTTATTTCATTTTAAAAGTGAAATTTTTTTTACCAATATTTTTTTCTATTTCACATGCACCATACAAGTGTTATGAACTTAATAATGATATGCGTACAAGTGTAATGATAGAAATGTTATGAAACATTGTTTTTGTAATGTTTTTAAGTTACGTACTAATTTATATGTCTGTAATTTCCTTTACGCTAGAAAAATTTAAGTTTCGTACTAGATTAAAAAGAGGTATTATGATTATTAAAATAATTTATTTAAATGATAAATTTATTCGTTTTTCTTTACATTAAATTTAAAAAAAATCTGTATATACAGGGGTAGGACAAAATTATGGAAGCACCACCCGTAATTACTTTTGATCTGATAATCGGAATAATTTAATCGTAATGGTTTGAGGGGATGACTTAAAATATGCTAATTAATAAGTGCAAACGATATTTAAAATTACGAAATCAGACATAAAAACGTACTCTCTTTGAATAAACATGCGTTTTTTTTCATGAAGGATTCAGATTTCTGATCTCTAGAATATAGGGGGTCAGGAGAGTGATCCAAAGTTTGGACCCCTTAATGTTAATTTTACATTTTGCGTATTTCGCTGGAGAACTTCTTAAGCGAATTGAAAATTTTTTGATCACAATTATAAAATTAATTTGTCCAAAAATAAATTCATGAAAAAAATAAATTTTAGTAAATATTTATTATTTTATTTAGTAATAGTCGAAAAAGTCTTGAATTGGTCTGCAATTTTTTACATCATTTTAAAGTATCTAGTTTTACGTGGCAAAATATAAAATTTGAGGGAAATCGGTTGAATAGTTCCTGAGAAATCGAATATTTAAAAAAAGCCATATATTTAAAATTTGATTTTTCTGGAACTATTATACCAATTTCACATAAATGTTGTATTTTACTATGTAAAATCAGATACGTTGAAATTATATAAAAATTTACATATCTTAGTAATCAAAAGTTTTTCGACTGTTACTAAATAAAATAATAAAAAAATACTAAATATTTTCAAAAATTTATTGCTTTCATGGAAGTATTTTTGGATAAACGAATTTTATAATTGAGTGCCTAAGCTTCTCGATTCGATTAAAAAGTTCTCGTTCAAAGGCGAACAACGCAAAAAATGAAATTAACAATAGAGGGTCCAAACTTTGATTCTCTCTCCTGACCTGGCTGTGGGACCCTGTTTCCCAGATTGCTGATGCCCCCCATATCTTGGGGGTCAGAAATTTGAATCTGTTGAAAAAAGGCACGTTTGCTCAGAAAAAGTCCGTTTTTTGCGCTTGATTTTATAACTTAAAATAGCATCTGCACTAATTAATTAGCATATTTGAGGTCACCTCTTGTAGTCATTAAGATGGAATTCAAGAACGTGAAGATTCGATCACTGAATCAAAAGTTATTTAGGGACGTCCGTTTCATTTTTGGCACACTGTATATGAATTGAATACTTACACTCTATTGCGGTAAAACACGAAAAGGATAAGGAGACCACATATGACGATGAGAACTGAGACCACCACTACTACTGTAATAATAAGTTTCTGCTCTGAAAGAAGTAAGGATTAGGTAAATACAGGTTTGACAAACAGTTACTTTTATATTTACCAGAGGTTTTCATTAACTCGCTTTCGGGCCTGTGATCTCGGAATCTAGAAATCGAAATTTTGACAGCTTTTCGACTATCTAAAGCACTTAAATCTCTTTTGGAGGTCTTTACCTGAAAGACGATGCTTACTTGTATCTCCAAGCGAAAACGAATTTTTCTATATTTGAGTTTGCCCGTGGAAATCGCTGGATGAACAGCTGAAGGGTTAACTATGTTGACCAGATTAAAGGACATGCATTAAAGATAATAAATTTTTATGCGCTGATTAAGCCGCCTGATTGGAATTTCGAAACAAAAATTGATTTTAATGTTGTATAATTTCTTGTAGTTTTATCATTTATAAGACTTAAAATTAATTTTAACTGGTAGTTAAATCAGTTGTTGCGCATATAGAACAAAGAGCATGATTGTCTAAGTGATGTTTTTTTAGGCTTTACTATAACTTTGTCATAAACAATTTTGGGTGAACGATATAGGGCGAAATTAAAGGTTGTCACCTGCCACAGGGTGGCGAAATAAAATAAATGGCGATTAAAAATTATCTACCATTCGCCAATTGACCGTCACTTTTTTTTGTTTTCAAAAATGCATTTTATGACTATTTTATTGTTATTTTTTTAATAAATGGAATTATTAGGATTGTTTTACAATCATTTGAAAAATTACTTTTTTTTTGCGGCTTGTTTCCTAATATTTTTTCTAGATTTTGCTAATGAGCTGTATTTTGAAAAATGCTTTAAAAAAAGTTCTATACTATTACTTTGGGGTTGCCGACTATTTGGGAAAATTTCTTCTAATGGTAGCTAAATTTGTATTTGAATGTAAGATTCTTTGCATTGTGAACTTCATTTAGCTTTGCTCACCACTGCATGTAAATGACTCAAAAGTTCACTTTGTTCCTGCTTTCTAGCGGTAAGAGTTTTAAAACGTTGTTAATACTAGTAGAAAATTCCTAATAAATTCTATAATTTTTCAATTGTCTACCACTCGATAATTTATCTTGCAAAGAGTGTAATAGTACTTAGTTAGCAACCTTGTTAATATCAGTAGTTTTTAATGGTTTATAAATATTAAATTTTTTTTTAAATGTAGCCATTTGTTTTAAGTGGCAGTAACTGTTAAAAATGCTAATATAGGCCGAAGGCAAGTAGCAAAATTTCCTAATTTTACTTTACATTGCAATAATCTAAACGGTACAACAAATAATGCCCTTTATTTTTTTAAAAATTTATTTAGCACTGCTATAAATTTTATAGCTAAACTGCACTCATTAATTAACTTAACTTCCGCTATTCCAGGAGACTTCATATAATTATATTTACAAAAATGGCTAAATTAATTTAATTATCATTAAAATGATGGTTGCATATAGATTTCACTATATTGAATCGTAACAGTAAAAATTTGCTACAATCAAGATTTTAGCCTAAAAAAATCAAAATCTATTTTTAAGATTATAAAGATACTAGGAAAATAAAACTTACTTTCACTTTCAGTATTTTTCTTGTACTGACAACGTGAACCCCAATATCCTTCATAGCAGCTGAAATAAAACTAAAAAAATTACTTTTCGAGCATGTCATGTTTCATTTCATAGAAAACGGTTTTGGTTGTTTAGCATAATATGTATTTCTTTCTTTTTTTTATGGTGTACCTATTTCTTTCAAAATACAGTATTGATATTTTTAAAAAATATGCACTACTGCCTTATATTTTTTTAAAAAATTTATATTACTCATTAAAATATATCTCTACTAGGGGGCTAAGTCCTTGTTAGGGGGTTAAGTTTCTTGGCATGAAACTGTTGAAACTACTCAAATAAAAATATATGTACTAAAAAGAACCAGCCACTTTCCATGTCCAAATATTTCCTTCCTTTATGATACTATTAAGATCTATTAAGAGAACATAAATCATTTTTCTAAGTAATCATTTTTTTGAAATAACATTTAAAATTAAAAGTATATTGTTATAACAAATAGGGTGAGTTCACAATTGTAATTTAATATTTTTGCTTACCAAATGAACGGATGTATATTAAGTACAATTTTTGCATTCATCACTTCGAGCATGAAGCTATAAATTAAGTTCTAAATCATTTAACAAATCTCTTTAACCGTAATTCATAATTGTATATTAATGTAATTTGCACCAAAAAGTAAAACTTGTAAGAAGGTTAATAAGATCAGACACCGATTTGAATGACTTTATCCCAAAATATAACATAGAATTACGTTATTCTGACAATAATAATAATAAAAACGGGTCGCATTCATTTCATCGACAATCACTTCATCGACACACCATTTCATCGACACCACTTCATCGACAGGCCGTTTCATCGACTAGGTCATTTCGTCGACAGGCCGTTTCCTCGACAGGGTTGTTTCGTCGACAGGCCATTTCGTCGACAGGGTCATTTCGTCGACAAG